GTGTACTGAAAAAGCGAATACACTCTTGAATGGGTCAGTGTGTCCGGCCGTCCGGCCGTTTACATGATAACTTTTGAAGGAAGAGGTTCAATCGCGATGAAATTTTCTACACAGTTCAGTCGTAACAATGTCTCGGTCTGATTCAAAGTTGAGCATGATTGGCCGAGCCATTGCTGAATTATTGCAAAAATACGCATTTTTTCCTTTGGCTTCCTATGCGAAAATCGACCCATCCCCGGTTTCGTAAAAAGCTTTTCCTGGCATACTCACACAAAACCCCAGCTATTATATACCATTCGATAGAGAATTTTACGAGCTACAAAATGGTGTATAAAACATAAAGAAACACGAGGGGTAACTCACCTATTGTCAAGATAATCGGACGGAAATAGGTTCGGTTTGCGTCCAGGCTCTAGTGGATCCGAAAATGTAGCGCTACCTTCCGATCACGGATATGATACTTCGAGGTTTTTCGGGGCGGAGAACTCGAATCTGTTATCCATTTGCCCTGAAGTACCATTGGTTGAGGAGGGACCAATAGAAATCAAGTTATAGGAAAAACGACTTTCTTAGGGTAAATGAAGGCGAAGAGTTCAAATCTGAGCTGTATTCATCCCCAAATCCTGTTAGTTGAGAGTAGCCAAAGGAAATCAAGTATTTTATAGAAAAGGTTTGCCAGGATAATTTTGATGTCCACATATTCTACGATGACTCATCTGTCTCATTCACTTTTTGAAGTACACATAACTCTCGGATTTAAATCCGGGATTTTCGCATTTATTTTAGATTAAAATAAATCCTAACTATTTCGATACACGGTTAAGTGACATTCCTTTGTCATGTCAAAACACTCATCACTCTTTGTTTGTTTTTCTTCTATCATTTTAAAATCGATTGTTGTCATTTTACTCTAATTTATGTACAAGAAACAAAATCATTTTGCTAACAAGAACTTCAATCATCAAATTTTGATTTCCTTCATCATCGGATATGATGTTAGACGAACTATCTTCAGGTCCCCCAAATATGGACGTTATGTTTATAGAAAAAGATTATAGTTGGTCCAAACCATTTTTAATGATCGGTACTTATTACGCTATAGTGGTGATTAAGGTGGACTGTTGTTGTTTTCGTTGATGTAGTCGTTGTTCGACAAAATTTGACATAAGTTTTGAGTGAATCACCAGAAAGAAATTCGAATTTGAGATCTTCTTGATCATGTTTTCTAAAACTGTAAAGTAAACATGTTTGACTTGACATTATATCATCGTATCTCATAAATTCATGTTCATTTTTATTTTTATTTGTTTTATCATCATTATTATCTTTATCTAGATTTAAATTAATCAAAATATCTTTATCATCATCAATAACATTAAGTGGTGAATGTCGATTATCAGGATCGATTTATATTTTTGTTTTCAATTTTTCTTATAATTTTAACGTGTTTTTAATTTTTTTTCAATATGACGTAAACGTTTACTATGTTTATATTCATATGTTGCTCGAATTCGTTTTTTAACATTATAACTATCATCATTCATAGAAAGTATCTTGCTCTATGTATTTTTATTGTTAATAAGTGCAATAGCATCTTCAATAGCATCATCTGCCTGTTCAAGCCGTGTAATATTTTCATGATTATTAATAACATTTTGACGACTACTTTTAATTTCAATATTAGCCATATGAGCAATATCTTTATCTGGCATGCGATTTATACGATTCCGTAGAGAATTTTCATTTGATATTGACTTATATTGTTGAATTTCGAGAGCAAGATTAACAAAAAATTCCTCGCAATATCACAAAGAAGTTAACCACGTGCAGCTCTGTAAAACTCACTAACTGTGCCACATGTTTGTGAATTTCAATCATTGTGAGAAATTTCCCTGCTGCATAAAATAAATTAAGTGAATTTTTATGTTTTTTTGGCAGCGGCAAAAGATGAAGTTTCAAAAGCTAACAATGATTTACATCACTTATCATTTTTGGTATAGCATCCTAAGCAACTTTGAGTGCTGTATTTCTCAAGCCATTAGTATCGTTATTATCATTATTGGAGATGTGTATGAGTGCCTGTATCAGTGCGTGGGAGTACAGAAAACTCTACATCAACACTTAAATTCATAACACAGTTATAACCATATCCA